TTCCCATCTCCTAAAACTTCCTGTGGCGCTTGAGAGCTTCAAACTGTAAGCCACAGGAATGCAAAATCCAAAATACCAATTTTCACATGCTAAAGGCTATTACATCTATATATCTGAGTTGCTGAAATGAGACCACCTCAGTAAACCACCTTTTTGGATACCACCACAGTTAAAGGTGGATTCACCGCACTCCCTGGTTCCTCAGGTTTTGCCACAGTTCCTGGAAGTGTTAGCTTGGGTCAGGACTGGCATTCTCAGAAACATGCCTGATGTTTTTTGAATTAAAACCCAACAAATCAACCAAAAAGAGTTTAAAAAGAAACCCTACAGACTCCTATTTTTTGCATCTATTCTTCCAGAAGCCACAATCAAGATCTGGGGCAGCACTGGGCCAAGCGCCGTACAAAGAGCAGCAACAAACCCTGCACTAAGGAGAGTGAAATCTTTCTTTCAACCTTTACATAAATTCACTAATCTCCACACACTTTTATAAATCGCATTTAAAAATAGTTTTCTCCTCACTCATGTCCCAGATTTAACAGAGTGATATATTGAGGTCTCATTAAGAAGCCGTTATTACCTTCACAAGCCAAGGTACGTTACCTTACCTAGTACCAAATGCTGAAAATACTACACATCTCACAATTCATCTGACCTGAGAGGAGAACTAAGATTATTCCAGGGACTTCAGAAACACACACAAATATATATGTGTGTGTGTATATATATATGCAGGGCAAAAGCACTCCTATTTCTAGCTTTGGACTGAGTATATTCACCACAACCTCAGTGCCTACCAGGTAAGTACAGCTTCAGGTGGTGTCTTTCTACAACAGCACCATTTCAACAGGGTGTTAAATAAACATTTTTCTACTTATCTCACTGTTTTAATCCTGCTTCCCACAAAACTTAGAAACATCACAACCTAGTGATCTCCTGAAGAGGAAGTCAGATGGTCAGTGACAAGGTAAAAGTAATAGTAAACACAAGTATCAATTTATGCTAAAGTTAATGGCAGGCTGGGGACAGCTGTTTTGTTGGCTCATATGAGAAATAATGTATTAAAGCTCTCTTTCACCACTTCATTTCTTGTAACATAGAAACAGAGCACTCTTCAGGACCTCACACAGAAAAGATACTCCTTTCCTTTAGAAAACCACTAGTGTCTCAGAGAAACGTTAGAAAATCCATATGCTGCACTATTACTTGGCTCAAATACGGCTAGACCTTCGAAGAAAATCAATATCATCAACTGCATTATCCAAACTGGAGCAGAGAGAGCAAAAACCAGCGTGTGTGAAGGTTACCCAGCAGCGCAGCGGGAACAGGAGGCTCAGACAGAGAGAAAACCAGCAGAGCTAACAGGACCAAATTCTAAAAATACAGAGCATGAGTCGGGGGAGGAATACGAAAAACAGCAGTCCTGGAGGACTCCCCGGGCACGTCTGTCCATCTCCTGCTGCGCCTCATCCAGTCTGGGCCGCACAATCCACAGCAGAGGATTTTGTTACTGTAAAGTTTCAAGGACCACCAGAAGTACTCGGACAAACCAGGTGTCCAGTACTATGTCATTTGCATTTCTGCTAAACCACCACCGAGAAACGAGTGGTTTGAGAAAGCTAATAATAAATGTACAAAAGAGGACAAAATCGGTATCAAACAAAGGACAAAAGCCTGCTCAGGTGCCCAGAATTAACTGACGATGACAGAAATATTAAAAATAGTTTCTGCCCTACTTTATATTTACAGTACAGGAGGACATTGAACCTCCATACATCTAGAAAGACCTTTAGTTTATTTAAGCTTGGGAAACAAAGCACTTCTATAAATTAATAATAAGCACTTCAAAATATATTGTGGATAAAAGGGGAGGGAGGAAGAGCAGAGATGACTTGTTCATCTGACTGTGAATGCCTAAATCACCCTTTCCCAAAGTACAAAAACGTGTGCGGAGGCGGAGTTCGAGAGACACGGGAATGAGTCAGAACTTGTCAAGGTCTCCATGCTGTGGCTGGTCTCAGCCTTTGCTCACCTGGCACAATACAAAGTTCATGAGATTCACTGAAGGTGACAAAGTCTTGCACCCAGTGGGGTCCCCTAACCCAGAGGTGAACCGGCAGCAACAATAAAGTCCACAAGTGCAAGTACTAACCAAAAATTAAATGTATTCTGCCACTATGAGTAACTCCCCCACCGTGTAAGGAGCGTGCTCCAGGAAAAGGCTAAACCAGAGGCTGCTGAAAACGAGAAATGAAGGAAGAGAGCAATGAAAAAAATTGCAGGCTTAAAATGATGAGGGAAAAGACAGAATAGAGTAAATGCACTGACTGGAAAGTGACAGTGTTAAACACTGACCTGTAAATATTTACATCCTGTAGATATGACCTTCTGATTTCAGAGGTTGAAAGTAGAAAATTGAGCCACTCAGCACAGTAAACACGAGCAAGTGAGGGTATTTTACCCATCTACAAAGTATTCAGAGGACCACGAGGTCAAACCTATGCTGTATGCACAAATCCAAGCCATTAGAAAAGCCAGGTTCAGTAGCTTTGCACGTAGCTTCCTTGGATCAGATCACCCAGCAGCAAATCTTAGATCTGAATTTTCTTGTTTATCCTCCTCTTAAACCTCTTTTTTATTGGCACCTGCACTGTTCAGTTTTTATATTGCTGGCATAGAGCTGTGCAAGAGGACATCTTCTGAAAAAGTGAATTAATAGCACAGTGAAAGGAGCAGCCTCTTGTTAAAGTAAAATCTGTATGGCCCCAATCCTTCTCTTCAGGACAAAGACCTGTCCTGATCAAACACGTATAAAAAGCAGGGTCACAGCAATATGCTGGCTAGAATATTAAATAATACACTGTACACACTTACCCTTTAATTATCATTTGCTTTTTGCATTGATTCCATTTATTAGGGGAAAAACCCCAAATAGGAGAATTTACTTTGATTCTTGTAGGCAGAGACTTTGTGAAAAGAGCTACTGAAAATACACAGAGCTCAGATGGAAACATGAAGGGAACCTTCTTCTTGCTGCTGTCATAATGAGAACGTGGATTTTTCGAACTTTCTGGCTGCTGGCAGCTGGAACTTGTGCTGGATGCTCTGTAAAGCTTTTTCTTCTCCTGCAGCACAGGAGTTTAAAAGCCTACCAGAAGGGAAAAGAATGGAGGGTATAGGTCTTGTTTGCTGCTGCTGTTTTGAGTTTTGAGGGGAAATGCGAGCATACAGCAAGACAATTTAGTGTGATGCTACGTTCTGCATTTGCAACCACATTCTACCTATTCAGCCATGGCTACTTGGTAGCTCACGTTTCTATTGACTGCACGATCATCCCAGTCAATAAAACACAGCAGTCTGTGAGCCTCTTGAAAAAACAGACCCAAACCCACAACATCCATACAAAACAGGGTTTGCGGCTTGCTTTGGTTTTTGAGAAACTCCCTTTTACCAAGAATGCTACCAGAGAAATCAGTGTGTGAGTAGGGAATGGAGAGGGAAGGCGAGGCTACAGCCTCAAGCATGCACTGTCTAATACTAAATGATAAAGATCTGCAGCTTTCCAAGACCGTTGTGACTATTTTCTAATATTTACAGAACTCCCAATGAATGGAAAGAAGCGATTTTGAATGTGCATCAGTTTTTAAAAGGATAATCTCCTACTGCAAATGGAGGAGTACAAGTTTTCCAGAACTGCAACGGAGCAGGAAAATGCCTGGAATGTCACCTCCCACGCCACTAAATCTTCCTGGTAGAAATTTAAGTACTCAGTTACCTAAGTGCCAATCACGCCAGAACAGGTGAACCTCTCCTTCACCGTAAATCAAGGCTGGAAAAAAAAATACGCTAACAAATGAGGCGCGCCAGCTACCTTGTGTTCCAGGTGGAGACTGAATCACAGACCTGCATTCCTGAGACACACCTCGGGGTTACAGACAGGACGGTGTCAACCAGTGATTTACACCCGGTTCCTGGCTCTGGGGTGTGGAGGAGCGGCAGGCGCTGGGGATGGGAGCACAGCTGCTGTGACACTGATGAGAACAGGCAGCGCTCCCAAGTCCTGCCACTGCCACACGATCCGATGAGGGGGAGAAATTGTCACTGTTGCCACACCACAGCAAGTGATCTCAGCCACACTGATGGTCTGCACCCCCCCAGAGCACCACTGCTGTCCTCAAATACTGAGACCTTCCCCCTATCCCAGATCTGCCACAGAATGCCAGTTCCTCTACAGCTTACTATGCTAATGAGGCAATTTAGAAAAGCTGAAAATAACCAGCAAAATACAACTTCCAGGCACTCCTGTATTGAAACAAGGCAGGTCAAGCTTCTGCGAGGGAAGGGAACTTCACAAAATCACCTAATCGCATTGCTCTATTTGGCTGCTAATAAAAGAACATCTGACCTTCCAAGCTCAGCAGATGCTAGAGGGGGTTGGGAAAGTGGAACTGCAGGTCCTCTACTCACTTATTTAGAAATAAATTAAGACAAGGTACTAGAGCTGTCTGTGGCCCACTGTCCTTTCGTAGTGTCTTTAAGTACGAGAACAGCACCTCTGTGGTAGCTTTTTGCAACCCTGTTCCCTCTGACGGTAGGTTTTATTTCTGTAGACTTAGGCAGCATTTTGCTAAAAATCTTACTCTTCCACAATGCTGCATGCTTCAAAGAGCGTGTTTTTACAAGGAGTTCCCTTCACGCTCCAAAGTCTCGCTGAAAAAGAGGTTAATGCAGATTGAAAATCACTGTGACATTATGGGCCCTTTAATTGGTTCCTAGACCTGCTCTGGGGCACATATTAACAGGGCAGAAGCGCTGTGCATGCTCCTGCTCTCTCCTTGACAAACTGCCAGAGGAAGGGAAGGATTTTGGTCTTACTGAAAGTACTATGCAATCCATTTAAAAACCTGAAACTCGGGGAATATAAATCGATGTGTAACTAGAAGAGGAGTTTGTTCAGGACCGAAAATAATGCACGTAGAAAATGTAACAGGGTGCCTTACCATAGCGCTGAGAGTCTCCTCCCAGTCTGGCCGCTCTCTGGGATGGATGCTTCTCTGGAGCTCTGGCACAAAGTCATCTTCTTCTGCGTGTACAGAGGACTTCATCATTCTGGAAAGGAGACAGAGAGGATTGAAGCTCAGGGACAATTTCTGGGTACACACAGTGAGTTATGGGCGCATATGATGGAATAAATGCTTTTGTACATCCAGAAACCTTACAGACTTCTCATTTTCTCATACTTCCTCATTACACAAGCAGGACAAGACTGTAAATCTGGTGGAGAGATATCCGCACTTCCTAACCAATCAATGGATAATTTGGTTTAATCACCGCACAATTTGCAAGTCTGAAAACACAGAAGAACGCAGAGGAGCAATTTTCAGTCCATTTCCAAAAATTACTTCCATTGCCCAGGCAAACAACATTAGCCTTAGAAGAAGAAACACACACATTTGATTCCTCAGTTATCACTGCACGCTTTGCCTGAAACGCAGGCAGTGGTTTCTGTATCTGAGCCTGAATTCACATCCCCAGGCCGGAGCTCTCACAGTGCTCACTGATCCTATCCCTTCCACCACCGCAGCTCTGCAGGGATGCGCTCAAATCAGTCTCATTTTATCAAGGCAAACTTTTCTTCAGATAAGGAGCCATCTTTCAAATACCCTGTGAAGTGTATTTCAAGTCTGCACAGAGATCAGAGGCTCAAAATCAAAATTTAACAAGTATTCATAAAATCTTCTCAGCCTACGCTTGTGACAGCTCTGCTGTTACAGCCAGAGAGACCCGATATATATTGCACTTGCAGGCCATAGAAATGTGCTTTATGGTGCAGCTCTGAAGTACCAAAGGCCTTTTGAAGGTCTGGTATTATCCATTCTGGTTTCATTAAACAGGAGACTTGGCTAGGCTTTTATTTCATTAATAGATCATCATTTATTTACTTAGGGTAACCATTTTGATAATTAACACTGCACACAGCAGGGCTGGCTTCTCTAAATGCTAACAGTGCTGATTTATGAACCGTTTGAATAGAACAGGCACGGTGAAAGGCATTTAAGAAAAGCCCTTTGCTTCAGACCAAGACCTGAATTTCTGAAACCCCTCCGTGCCGTTTGCCACCACCGCGTAAGTGGCTGGGCCAAAGCATTTAACTCCCCTTTGTACTCGACAAGAGGGTTAAGAATGAAGTCATTAACGCTCACAGTAATGGCACGGCTGGGTTACAAAATTACATCCCATATAATTTTATACTTAGCTTTGTGATCATATTTCCGCTCTGGTAAAAAAACACATCCCAGAGAATATGGGCCTCCAAACCCAAAGTCCTAATGCCTCAGGCTAATGCTGCTAAACGGTTCCATGTGCCATTCCCACCACAAACATCCCTGTCCCTAATGCAAGGAAAAAAGATGCCTACGTGGTGAGAGCTGTATGTGTGTGAAAAAAATGTACACGAAAATACCACGACTGAGAGCACAGAGGTGCAATGCCAGCTCAGACGGGAGACTCGCACCTGTGCAATGTACGTGTCCAAACGAATCTCACTGCTGCCCACTGGAAATTTGTTGCTCAGAGTGCAGCTCTTTCCTTTCTGTTTTCAATATTCTTCCTACTGAAGGTGCTCTGGACTTTCACTGGCAATAAGAAAAGCTCTGTGTGTACAACTGCGTATTTAAACCAGCCAATTCCTCGAGCATTTGCCAGGCTTGTTTAACAAAATATTCGACTACTGATGGAAATCAAACACTTGGTCACGGTACCACAAAAATACCGAAAATTGTACTGAAGATTTTCTCTGGACCACAGCTATAAACACTTGACAACCATCTGCGAACCCTTATTAATTTTTAATAGTAACTATTTCATTCCATGCCATCTGAGACAAGGCACCAAGGAAGGCAGCAGACGCTACAAGTAATATTAGTCCCTCATACACACTAAGCACAGTGGCTTTTCCTCCCTGCCCCCGGTCTGGATGAAGGAAAACAACCTTGTGAATTAACAGCACTGAAACACGGGCAGGAGCAGGGCCAGAAAGGGAGAAGAAGAGGAAGGAAAGCAGCTACTCGACGACTTGGAATATTATATAAATGTGTAATCACATACACGCATATTTAAATGTATATTTGACCTTATTTTAAGTAGCATAACACACGCATGTCTGATTCAGCACACATGTCAAGCTGTAACAAGACTGATGATAATCTTGTTTCTGCCACAGCTGCTTCTTCACAAGAGGGGAAAATACCTACACAAAACACTGACACACAGATCTGGTAAACATTAAAGGTCAGACAAATTAGAGAAGCTGCTCTGTTCTCTAAACCTACATTTGGCCATTTCATGGGAGTTGTAGCTGACTGAAAATTCACTGCAAAATTTAATACTAGCCAGAAGAACAGAAATACCATTTTATTTTAAATGCCACTTCTTCAGCTGCTTAGCAGCTCTGAATGCCCTTCATGAAAACTGACACCATTATATTAATAAAAGGTCTGGCCGCATAGAGGCCATTAAGCAATATCTGCTCAGATGAATGAATCCTTCTTCATTGTAAATTGAGGATCAAATGCACTGGAACAAACGTTCACAGGACACTTCACAAAAGGCTCAGCCCACATTCACACCCATTCTTTAAACTTCTGCAGCGGGTCGAGTTGATGGATTTCAAGTCAGAGCTTGATTTGTACATGATACAGTTGGAACAGGAAAACATCTCATGCCCTTTTCCAGGTTCTCAAATCTCATTTGCTGGCTCCATCATTTGTGGTGGGACCATATCTCCTTACCAGGAATCCAAACCTTTTGGTACTGCCTCACCTAGAACAGAGACCCACAGGTGCTCTGCAGGGCAAGTAAATGAATACTCAGTTTGATGTGCACGAACTCTACCGCTACTTTGTGTTTATAATACTAAACACTACTTCCACTAGAGACAGTAACTTTCCCTGGGCCTTTGAAGGAGTCCCACATCCACAAATACGAAGCGTAAAGAGGGGACAAGAAAGGACAGAAACTTGAAAATACGGTGGGATTCCCACCAGCGTTTTTGTTGCCCTTATGGAGGTTCTCTGGCACGCACTTTGTCCCCCTGGTAGACCACGGCAGTAGGAGCAACACCATTGTCACGGACCTTGCTGTCAGCGGGATGCTGGAACACGCAGATCAACAGCTCTCCTCGGGGAGAGCACGAGGGTGCTGACAAATTACCTTTAGAGGAATTCGATGCTTTGAAAGCCACGTGCTGGCACGGAAGCACGACGCGTTCTGAATGTCAGACTCCTCATATCGGACAGTTCGTTGTCTGCTTGACAGATACTCGCTCTGGACTGGCTATATATTTTTTAAAGTAAATGCCAAGCATGAACTTTAGGTTGTGTATCCCCCATGGGGACATCAGGCGTTCCAGCTTTCCTTGCTTCTTCTCCCACTAATGACTTCTCTTTCTGACCTCAATTTAAGAGGTGAGAGCCAATGATAACTGATTTATTAGTTTATTTATTATTTATACAGCGCTGCTGTTGTGCCTGGAGATTCCTCAGCCAATGTAAAAGCACAGCTCTGCCCGACAGAACCAATGATTCAAAAGGATTTAGAGCTCAAAAATATGTAAAGGACTGCGGATGTCACTGTACAATACATGACAGTGGAATTAAGATGACTCTTCACATCATACGGGTTGCCCTTCATCACCACGAGGAAAGGTAGAAAATCTAGGAAACAAGGACGGAGATCTGGCCCAAAGCTTATAAATATTTGGGCAAGAAGCTGGAATATCAAGTGAGAAACACTGATACATCTTCATTTCTGACCCCAAACTGATACCGTACACACACACATTAAAAACAAAAGGGAGATGTCACGAGAGAGATGGAAAATAAGCAGAGGACACACACCCTCCCCCAACCCCGTTTTCCAAGTAAACTCTGTGTCCATGACATTAAAACTAATACAGTGGAAAGGAGGAAAATAATCATGCAATGTGGAAAGGCGAGATAGCTCAAGAGCCCCAGGAAAAATGAAACAAGAGATGGGAATTGAAGGCTGACAGTGCTGACCTGAGAGATGATTTAATTTCCCATGTTTTAAATCAGCTTTGTCAACACCTCACTGATTACATTACGCCCATCTGTACTATATAAAACAAGATTTCTGAAGTCTGTCTCCAGGATCACACCAAGTGAAGACAGAAAAGAGCTACAAGGTCAGCTTAAAGCACACCTCATACATAAACAAACAGAAAATGGACTGTATTTAATCCTTGACCACAAAATGAAAACCTGGCATAACTAAATGGGTTGCTGTGATTGATTCTACAAAGCTGAAAGCTGTAATTGCTACTTTTGAAGGAAGTTCGTAGTCAGGGAACCAAAATTCAACTGTTTGGGAAGCCACTGCACAAGAAAGATTAATAAAGTAACAGTGTATTACAATAAAAGAGTGTTTTTAAAATCATCTGAGTGAAATAGCATTCAACTATCAGTAAGCTCAAACCAAAGTGCACTTCCCTGAATTACTCTACGCATTACCTCTGCTAATACGGATGTGTTTATTGCCTAGTTCTACAAGTTTAGATGAGGGCTTTCCAACTCGTGTCTGTGGATCTGTGAGGGTCTGAGCACTCACAGGAGCTGATAAAGAACAACAAGTTCACTGGTGCCATGCAGCTGTTCAGTAAACGGGCACCTTTCAAGGAATGTCACGGTCCACAGGCAAATTCGTCCAGGTGCCCAGATAAAGAAGGCTGGAAATCACCAAGCACCACCACTATTACAAAAACAGATTATTCCATTTTACTGGTTGTTTCTAAGCCATAGAAGTTGCAGCCACAAAGATACTTTTAAAATACTTCAGAGCATCAGAATTTCTAGCTTTTGCAATTTTCAAATTCCACATTCAACCTAGTAAAGCCATATCTACACCCAGGGAAGCTGAGGCAGAGCTCACGGATGTACTGTGATAGAGCGGAATGAACCACTGAATGTACCCTCAGCAAGTTGGCAGATG